GCAGCAGCAGCAGCCAGTCGATACAGTGCACACAGAGAGTGAGTCCTCAGAAGAAGAGGAGAAAGAGGAAGCACCATCCACCCCTGAGGTAACAGGGCGCCAGCAGCCCGTTGGTACAATGCACGTTCTCAGTGAATCCTCAGAAGAAGAGAAGGAGGAGGATGAAGGAGAGGAAGAAGTGGAGGAAGAAGAAAAAGAGGATAGGGAGGACGTACCATCCACGGGTGTGGCAACAGGGCAGAAGGAAGCAGTTCATATAATGGACCCTACTGTGGGAGCGGTGGATATAATGGATTATGTGTGTAATGGTGATGTGAATAATCGTAATGAAGTCGAAGTTAACGTTGGGGTAGAGCGTGGGATGGAACTTGATGTCGCTCGCCATTTGGGTAGAGTTGGTGTTTCTTCTCGTGGGTGTGATGATAATGATGATGGTACTCTTGATAATGTGGGCCAAAAAGAGGACCCTGTTTTTGATAGGCAGAATTCTCATGATTTTGATTGTGTTAGGTTTTCTGACGCTTCATGTGGTAGTGTATTGCCTGCAAAGTGTGGTGGTAATATTGATAGAACTAATGAATCAACACATGTTGTGTTTGCTTCTTCGAAAAATTTGTCTGAGGAAGGCTTGGTTGGCGAACAAAGTTCGAAGAATAGTGGATTTGTTGAGAGTGATTTCGAATTTTGATTATTATTGTCGTTTTTTATAGTGAATTACTTTTCTGTGTGGGGGTATAAATAAATGGTGTCTAAAAAGAGGTAGGAAGAAGAATAAATTCTTTTAGGAGGGCTGTGTGTCGTCTTAGTGCTCCTTTGTATTTTTATTTATTTTATTTTTATTTTTATTAGTAGTTCTTTTATTAGTTTTGTTTGCTTTTGTTTTACTATAGAAATTTAGTGGAAGAAGGCACCGATGACATGTCCAGAGTCTCGAGGCGATTTAAGGGGAATAGTATATGTTTGAATAATTCTGTGGCAAGTTTCATCAAGAACTATAGAAGAAGAGAGAGTTATTGTTGAACCCGTGTGAGGATCTTGGAAGCCAACATGCGGAACTCGTTTAAACCGCTTGTCGAGAAACATACGTTTGATCTTGGGGAAGGGAGCAGCCGGTAAATCCACTGAAGAATATATATATATATTATTGATTATTCATTTGTGATTTCACACCCCACAAAACCTCTTCTTGGTTAATGTATTTCAGCGCCGTTTCCCTCGAGAGGTGGGTGGGCATGGCGTTCTTTTTTTTTTCCCCGTTGTCCTTTTTTTTTGATTGTTTTGATGGCCGTGGCAAAGTTGTAGTCGGGGGTGTTGGAAGTTCAAAATTATGATGTATCAACTTTCCCTTCGTAATTGCAGGAGGATGGAAGGCCCTCTTCGACGTTAAGAATTGGGGGGAATTTGGAATGGGGAAGGTTTTTTCGAGATAAAAACGAAAAAAACGTTCTCTTATTTTTTTTTTATTTTTTTTTTTTTGGTTTGGATCTTGTGGGGCGGCGCTGCCGCTCGACGTCGCCGGAAAGGTGGGGAATGGCCGAAGGGTTTTGGCGTTTTTTCCATTTGTTTTTTTTTTCGAAAGGAACGGCGTGGGATTCCTTTTTTTTTGTTAGCGCGCGGGCGTTTGCTTCTTTTGCGCGGCCAGTTCGAATCCAAAAAAAAAGAAAAAACGGGCGAGAACTTCAGCTTGGCCGATGGCCGGGGGAAGCCCCCCCAAAAAGAGAAAAAAAAACCCTTTACCGGCGATGTGGGGGCCTTCCCGTGTCTCAGAGGGGCGGGGGGCGAAATCGTGGAGACGCCGTCGCCGAAGCCGGGCTGGAAGGGAACCGGCGGGGATATAATCGTTATTCTTGGGGTTCCGTTCATTTTTTGGGCGAGGGCGGAAACTCTAGCCCCGGACCGCTTCCACCTCCCACAGCATTTGGCGGCGTCGGGGGTGTGGGGGCGGACGTTTTTTTTTTTTTTAGTTTTCTCGCGCGTTCTCCCGGGGCGCCGAAGCCCACACCGAACTAGAAAAAAAAAAAAAAAAAAACGCTTTCTTATCGCAAAAGCCGTTTTGCGTGATGACGGAAGGGAATTTTTTTTTTTTCTTTTTTTTTTTGATGTACGTTTCCCGCCGTGTACGTTTAGAGCTTTGCACCGAAGTTCTTGCCATAGGGGAAAACAGGAAAGCTTTAAGAAGAAAAATCGTTTTCCGAAATATGAACGAAAAAGGATCTCGTTATTTTCTTTTTTTTTTNGCACCGAAGTTCTTGCCATAGGGGAAAACAGGAAAGCTTTAAGAAGAAAAATCGTTTTCCGAAATATGAACGAAAAAGGATCTCGTTATTTTCTTTTTTTTTTTTTTTTTGTTTTTTTTTGTAAAAAAAAAATTAACTAGATTTTTATGATGATTTCTTTGAAAAACTTCAGAGGCAAGATGGTCGAGTGGTCTAAGACGTGACGTTCAGGTCGTCATCTCTCCGGAGGCGTGGGTTCAAACCCCACTCTTGTCAAACGTTTTTTTACTAACATTTTTCCTTACATTTTATATTACCGTTAGGGAATTAAAAAGTAAAACAATAAAGAAAAAAAAAAAAAATTTTATCCTTCTGGATCCGGCTCCTGCCTTTCATCGAATCGCTCTCTGGGCGGAGCCGGCGACCATCTTCATCAGGATTTGAAACTTGGTTTAGTTTCAGTTAAGAGGTTGTACTCATAAAACGATTCTGTTCAGAGTACGGTCTTGCGAAACATTAAATAATAATTTAAAAATTTTTTAAAAAAATTATAATTAAAAAAATTAATAAACTATTATAAATTATAATTATCTCTTGTTTGCCGTATGTCCGTGTGGCTCAATGGAAGAGCATCTGACTACGGATCAGAGGGTTGCAGGTTCGAGTCCTGTCACGGATGTTTTCTCAAAAAAAATAACTTAATTTTTATAAAGTAAATTTAATGTAAATATAATTTATTTATTTTTTTTTTTTATTTATTTATTTTTTATCTAGATCTAAGAAAGAATAAAAAGGATTATAAAAAATGTTCTCAGCTTATTGAGAAAGAGGTAAAAGGAAAAAAAAAAAAAATCTTGGACTTTATTTTACCCAAGCGATTCGTATAGTTTTACAAAATTTATTGGTTAAATATTCTTCCTGATATAGTCAAACTCAGAAAACGAAAGGAAAAATAAAAATAGAAGCAATAAAGAAGAAAATAAAGCACCCTTTGAGATTTAACATCAAACGTAATTTTATTAATCAAAAGAAAATAAACGTAGTTGAGAATACCACTTTCCTTTTTTTTTTTTTTTATACTGGGTGAATAACATGGTAGGATTTGAGAAAGTGGCAGATTTTATTAAGGTCCTTTCCCTTTCATGACCTCACCCTTTTTTTGTGGAGGGAATCATTGGATAGAGTGGGTGGGGCGGAAAAAGGAAGA